CCTGTCTCCTCCTCATCGTCCTGCAGCTTCCAAACAGAGCATATCCCTGTGTTCATATCTTCCCCTAATCTAACAATAAACCAGCTAAAGTGTTACTTGTCATGTTATGTCATGTTGCTGTTTCACCAGCTGCCAAAGAGGCCTTCACCTCTCTGCTCCTGCTCACCTTTGCAGGAGGAACATGAGGAGCCCCTGACCACTTTCAATCAAACTCCACGGTGGTTTCTCAAGCAGAGAAATGTTTACAGTAGCACTCCAACCATATTTCTGCCTCTCCCTGAAATTGCAATTTGATTTATTTATTCTTGATCCCTCCAAAACCATGGCTGGAGTGTTGCTGACAAGGGGTGGTGTTTGGGCTCTTTATCAGTGAGCTTGCTGTGAAAAACATGCCCTGTTTGTGCAAGCCCAAGGGGGTTTTATGAACAGTCTGAGGGAGGTATGTTTTCTGTGTGCTAGTAGCTTGGGTTTGGGTGAGACCAGAAAGAACTGGTGCAAACTCTGTGTGTGAAAGGACCCAAACATCTCAGATCCCTGTAATCACAGGAAAAACCAATTGAATATTTGGCCAACTACTTCAATTTGGTGAACTCTGGTAGATAAGAAACTGTTTTTTTCATTTAATCTGAGTTCATGTTGTTAAAAATGCTACAGTCAATTGTTTGGTTATTGAAGTTATTATTTAAGTTCTTTTCTATTAGTTCACTGGGAATAGTTTGTTGTGTTTGCTGGATACGAGGTTGTAATTCCATCTGCATAGTGATAGATTTCTTTAAATACGTTGCTTTCCAAAAAAAAAAAACCAACCCACCCTTTTTCTATTAAGTTTGCACATCTGAAATTTAAATTTCTGCATGCAAGAGGACTATATTTTTATGCCAGTTTATTATTTCTGAAGATATTACATCTTTGTAATTGACATGTAAAATTCTAGGCCTGAACTAGCAGAGCAGCTTAATTTGCCTCCAACATCCTGTCTGACTTATTTGAAATGCTAATAATTTGTTTGCTGTTCACTTGGGTCCCTTTCAGTTATCTCATGCTGTACACCCCAAATCCTGCTTGAATCTCTTGCTCATCTGTATGTATCTCTCAGTCGTGTTCTTTGCAGGTCTGTGAAGACAGGTATGTAAGTAGATTGGAGTTGTTATGGGAGCTCACCCCTTCAGAGAGTGCTGGATCCTCCTTAGCCTGGCTGGCTCTTCCCTCTTCCTATCTCTCTGAGTTTGTTCCTTTGACACAAAAACATTCAAGTGTGATTTAGTCTTTCTAGGCAGCTGTAGGCAAGTGTGTTCCCTACTTCTTTCTTTACTTTCTCTTGCCTGCACCGACCTACAGGGTGGTGAAGAAACGAATAAGCAGAGTGAGAATGAGACTGGTGAACGCTTGTTTTGCCTCCCTGTCTTTAAAACAGACAGTAGCCATGGAGAGATGACCCAGCCAACCCTGACTATCCAGACCCACCCGTACCGGAGCTGTGAGCCGGTGGAAATGTCCTACCCCCGGGGGCAGTTCCAGCCAGCCATCCGCGTGGCCGACCTGCTGCAGCACATCACCCAGATGAAGAGAGGACAGGGCTATGGCTTTAAAGAGGAATATGAGGTGAGAGGAACCTTTCATCACATGACTGAGTAGACAAGTTGCGCTCACGAGGGATAGATGCTTGGGAGGGGAGGATAACTGTGGTTTAAGAGCTTCTTTTCCTTAATTCACCTTCTTAATCCTTTGCTTTCTTGTTTCTGTTTATGAGGGCAGGATTTTACAGTACTAAGAGTCTTTGGTGGCCTTCTAGTGCAGAGAGAAGGTGTTTACTACAGCAGTAAGTGGGTGACATTGTGCTCATCCCAGAGTGTGTGCCCTCTCTGCTGTAAAGGGCAGATAGTAAATGTTGAACAGGTGCTGAACTCACACAGGACTTAGAGTCCCACAGTCCCTTCCTTACTGATGTGCTTTCCTTGAACAGTGCAAGCCAGGCTGTAAGAAAAGGAAGAGGTTTTGCTTGAGCTTTTTGGGAGCTCCAAATACTCTCTCACAGTTGACCCAATTAAATCATAGTGCAATGCAGAATTGTAAAGTCAAAGGCAGAGATCTGTGTAGCTTAAATGAAGGCAGAATTTTCCTGTGTGCTCAGACCTCTGGCTCAGAATTGACTTGACTGATGTCCTCTTCCAACTCCAAGTGAGAAAAGGAGTAAAGGGTAAGCTGGAAAAATGAAAGCAGCTCTCTTCCCTCTCACCTTTCCCCCACAAGGTGGAATGATCTGACCAGGGATATAATCCCAATGACCAGAAGACATCACATTGGAGGGGAGTTGGAAGAGGAATCTGCGTTTAGAGCAAAGCAAACAGAAGAGGGAAATAGCATCAAACATATGTGAGACTCAGCTCTAGCAAGCGATAATTATAATGAATGTAGTAAGCTTGTGGGAAGGCAATAAGCAATTAATATGCACAGTGGCATTAAAACTACTTAAAAATAACATAACAGCTGTGAAAAATAAGTTACTTAATGAAAACAGCTCCCTTTTCCACCCTGCAAGTAAGAGTCCGTGGGGTTTGTATCCTTGGGGCTGGCTCTGGCTGTAATTGAGGGACAGTCTTTTCCTGCTCGTCACCAGGGAGCATTTTCTTAATCAGATGCCATCAAAGACTGTGAGAGCAAATGTTTCTGGAAACTCTCTTTTAACCAGGTCTAGTCACTCTTGCTCCACAATCAAGTGTGCTAATTAAACTCTCACTATGAAGAGCTCTGTTTAATATTGAAAAAGGGTAATCATTCTCTTAGGAGATTTCCTTTGCTCCCCCTTGGCCTCCATTTCCATGAACAGTACCCAAAACTACATTCAGCACAATTACAGATGCCCTAAGATCTAGTTCTTGATGTTCAAGAAGAAAACAGGTGCTGGCATATATGTAATTTTCTGGCACTGGCATTGGTAATTATCAAAATAGCACATTAGCATGAAAAATGTCAATGCAACTTTCAGCTCCACAAGTTCTTGCCTCTCCCAGAAAGTGCTATCGACAGACGTATATAATGACGCTGACATTATATAGATTTGCATAATTCCTTTCTTTACAAGCAGTAGCCTGGAGAATGCCATGAGCTCACAAATCCCCTGTGCTGAGGTAATTGCCCCCAGGAGCAGGCGTTTTCCACGGGGGAATCTGGAGTTTGGAGCATGGGATGCAGGAGCTCCAAATAGCAGTTCCATGGAGGATGTCAAGGAGCGTGATAGCTCCCGGAAGGTGGGAGGTTTGAGCTGGCTCAGAGTGGGGGCTCAGCCTGGGATCTGCAGGAGCACAAAGCTGCAAAATTAGTTTTGCAAAAATGCTTTGCGGAACAGTTGATAAAATCTTTCAAAAAGAATTTGATGTCTCTTTTAAAGTGTGTTTTCAGACACTAATATCAGTGTCACCTGCAAATACGTTCTTTTTTTTTTTTTGTCTTCTAAGGAGCTGATTTTCTACTTACTTTGCAAATTGATAGCATAAATTGCAGCCTGTTTAGTGACATGTTACCAAATAATTTTACGCTCGTGAAAAATCACTTTGAACGGAGCAGATCAGTCACACATGACAATCTCTTATCTCTGTACGTTCTCATCTCCACTGTGTAACCTGGAAATTACATCCCATGTTTGTTTAAAGGGTGTCTGCACCTACACATTGGAGCACAGGCTGTGTGTTTGGCTGAGGGCAGCTAGAAAAATGTTTCTGGTACCTCCAGGCTGAGATGAGAAACAGGATGTGATTGTGGAAGTGGTGTCAGTGCTGGTGTGAAATGGATGATAACTGTGTGTGAACGTGGGGCTCTGTCAGCACTCCCTCTGTGTGTGTGTGTGTGTTATTTTGGGGCTTCCTGCTACACCTCAGGGCAAAGTGTGACTTGGGCCTTTTTGGCTGCTGCTTCTGTTCAGCAAGAAAACCAGAAAAACAGAAGAGCAAAATCTCTCGGCGGCGCTGGATGTAGATAGCACTATTTGGGATTAGGAATAGCCACAACCATTTAAGCAGGACACATTTAAATGTCACCCGTTCCTGTTCCAGAACGTATCAGCTCTGATTTGTTGTGAGCTGTGGGACTAGGCCCATAGACTTACTGCAAGCACCAATTACTGGCTACGGAGATAATAAGCTTAATTATCCAAACTCATTTTCCATTATGATTTAGGATGTCACTGAAGCACATTTTCCTGCTGCATTACTGAGGCTGTTTAGCTATTTTAGATTTTGTGGCTCCTTCCTCAAATATCTTAGGATTGTGTCTTCAGCTTACGGAAGTTACCTCTGGATTTTAACCCTTTCATTTCTGCCTGCACACCTTCATGTGGTCAGAAAGAATAGCTCCAGTGGTCCAGGCTGTGATTGTGACACTGCAAAATGAATGGCTGAAATACTTATTTTGAGCTTATTTTTGTAGCCAAAACAATTTTTAATTCTGGCTCCCAGCAGAGTTGTGGGAACAGTTTTCCACTACTGTTGAGAAGAGAGTGACTGTGGGGAGAGGGCCAGGACTCTGTGGCAGACTCTGGGATGAGGAGGAAAGGTTTTAATTGATGTTGTTGCCTTTGGCAGCAAAACTGCAGCATTGAGGTAGATCAGTGCAGATGAAGGATTCAAATTTTCGTATTTAAATTAAAAACAAACAGCAAACTAACTAAATGCATCCATTGGAAATTTAAATTGGCTTGCAGTAAGCCTCAATTTAATGGGAACACTTCAGTTATGTTTGGGCTGTGGTGCTTGGAAAGCTTGATTGAGATGAAGCTGACTTTGAGAGATCTATCCTTGCAATTTCAGCTAAAATTTAGATCAATTTAATTTAAAAAGCTTCACTGTAACCTGAATTCCACCAGTGGGAAGATATTTCAGTATATATTTTATGACACTTCTCTAAAAGAAGTTTAGAGAGTTTTAGAAGTAGAAAAAGCCTAAAAATCAAGTCTAGTTTTTTGAACACTGAAATTTTGCTGTTACCAAGTCAAAGAAAGAAGGGTGAGTGTTTCCTGTGAAATATGGATTAAATACCAGTGCCTGAATGATGTGTCTTGATTTACCATCACTGATAATGCAGAGAAATAGAAATATTAACCCTTTTTGCAATTATGGAGTTACTTACTATACCCACAAAACCTGAGGAAACAAAGGATTAGGTGTACTCCTCATTTTCTGGATGCCACTCAATTAGAATGGCTATTTTGGCCTTTATTTCTAACACAGTTTTGATTCTTGGTGTGCTGCATTTTTAGTGATCTCGTAGGAAAATTATTAGTCTGTACCATCTGTGATATGTTCCTCACCAACCAGAGCTGTGCTCCCTCCCTTCAGAGCTGGATAGTTCTGTGGAAAGCAGAGATTTCTCTGGTATTGAATGAGATAAAAAATCCTGGACTTGTAAATCTTCAGAGGCTCTATCAGCAAATATAAAAACATCCATTTCAGTGGAGAATTTGATGTTCAAATCACATGAAAGAATACAGTTTGTCAAAAAGGGATTTATTGGATCTGAATGTGTTTCCTCTGGCCAAGATAGCTTTTCCCACATGAAAGTCACGAGAAAGGACTTTTCCTTTTCTTTTCAGGTGGCTCTGATTAGGTGCCTAATGACTGTTACCATTCTCTGGTCAATCTGCTGTAATTTGATATTAGTGGACAAATAAGGCAACTTTTTTTCTCAGTCTTTGAAGATGAAAATGAACTTTCCTCACCCTTTTTCTTTTACTCAGGGTTTTGTTGGGTTTTTATGGTTGTGTTGTTGTTGTTGTTGTTGTTGTTGTTGTTGTTGTGTGTGGATTTGTTGGTTGGGTGTTTTTCCTCAGGGGATGAGCTGCTATTTAGAAACAACTGTCTGCAAAGGAAATATATGTGTGATCAAAGCCCTCACCAATTACAGAGTTATTACTCTTTCTCCTGAGCTTTTGAATAGGGACTCACTGTCCCTGGCTCTGTCAGCAGTGCTCGTGGCATTTTCTGTCCTGGAACCCTTTGGGGGAAATTCACAGTGATCTGCTCTGCCAGGGCTTTGCTCATATTAAGTTTAATTGTAATGTCAGTGTTGTAGATCCTAATTGTATCTCTCTGCTATTGCATTCAGGCACATAATGGACCTGGATGGCTTGTGAAGATGAATATAAATTCATTTTCTCCCACAGCTCTGTCAAACTGCCTACTGCTAGCTCAGGCTGATATGATTCTACAATGATTGTGGTATAAACCCTCCATAATTCCCCAGGGACCTGAAATAATGCAATTTATAATGTTGGGTTTAGTGATGTAGGTTCATATTAGGGAGTACATCTTGGAGGAGGCAGAGCTATCAAGGCAGTTCAGGGGGAGCTCTTCTCCTCACCTGTGTTTTTCCAGAGGGAAGGAAGGACCATCTTCCAGCCACATCCTGTGCCAACTGCTGCTTTCCAGGCTCTGCCTTGAAAATCCTCCCTGGATGTGTCTCAAAGGGAGAATGGCTCATTTGAGTGTGTTCAGAATAGTTGTAGGGCCAAGCTGTAGGTAGGGGAGCACTGTGTGCTGCCAGTTCCCTTACCCCATCCTACCTCAGCTAACAGCAGATTTTAGGAAAATGGCTATTTATTTTCATATTTCCTGAGCAGGTTTTACCTCATTTTACCTCTTCCTTACAAATAATCTAAACCTCTGAGCTGCTTTATTTTTCCCCAGAGAAAACCAGCAAGTGGTTTATATCACATCAGCCATTATTAACAGAGAAATAGGTGAAACCACTGTGTCTATTTTCAACTTAAATAGGAGAGGCTGAGCACTGCATTTCAGCCATTTGGGTTTTCTTTGAGGTGTACTTACGTGAGAGCTCCACAAGCCTTGTTCTACAGGGGAAATGAGGTTAACCTATGACTCTGCAGCTTGAAACAAATTCCCCTGATCCTTTTAGATGTGAAGTAGCAGGAGGAAAATGATTCTGGAGTGGCAGAAGCCAAGAGATGCAAATGGTCTGCACTGAGCTCTGCTTTTTGCATTAGTGGTGTCCTTTCCTCTCCACCAGCTGTTTGCTTGGTCAGCTATTCAATTATGCACTGCCTTTATTTTTGCATTGCTCAGGCATCTTCACCCCCCCTAAAGGCATTGGCCAGGCCTCTCTAAACACCCAACTGTTTTCTGTTTTGCAGGCACTCCCAGAGGGGCAGACAGCATCCTGGGATACAGCCAAGGAGGATGAAAACCGCAACAAGAACAGATATGGAAACATAATCTCCTGTAGGTGTAAATTCACATTAAACTGAGCTTTCTGTAAGATGTTATGTGTGTGCTGTGGAAAAAGGTGTGTTTGGGAAGCTCAGCAAAACCTGGTGTACAGTGCTGAGCATTCAGGAGTTCAATCCATTTGTTCCATGATTTATTTTATGAGGTTTTTATCATTATTTTACATAGCATCATTGGTGACTTTGCAGGTTTTCTACACTTTTTCCATTTGCCTTGTTTGTGCTTTATGTTTGTAATTGAAGGGCTGAATCCTTTCGTCAGGTTTTCAGGGTGTGATGATGCCCATTTGGTGTCCATTTTACTCCATAAACTGGAGCTTTCAGTGCCACAAATGGCAGCACAAAAGGAGATGCAAATAGATCAGATTTTTAGATATGGCTCAGAGATGAGATTTTCTCCTTCCTTGTGGTCAGTAACCAGTGGAGCAGAAGCTGCTTGTCCCCAGAGTGCTGGTTTGATAGGTAGGACAAGCTTAGCTTCTGCTTCAGAATCACAATAAGGCTGCTGAAAATGCACTAAAACTTCTTAGTTTACTTTTTTCAATGGTCAGTAATTGTTGGTGTTATAGGAATATTGATACATTGCAGAACTGCAAGTCAGGGAAGGACTCTGTAAAACCACTTAGGTCAGCTTTATTCTCTGAGTCAGGACTAGATTCATCTCTCATTTTTATCAGATATTTGTGAAGCCTCTTCCAAAGCTGATCTCCAAAGCTGAGCTTTCTACAGGCTCTCCATGCAGCTCATCCCAGTGTTTCATTATTCCTTAGCATGGCTGGAGAGAGAAGGTGTGAGAAATAATTCTTTTCAAGAGCTGAGCAGCATCAAATTGGAGAAGTCAAGCTTGAGACCATCAGAACAAGAAATAGGATTACAAGTGAATATGCCATAGGTTTTCATGACTGGATAAATCTATAAAATGCTATAAGAGCAAAATTAAGTCATGCTGAGTGATATATTTTGTCCTGTTTTTTTTTTTTCTTGGGTTAAATGTGTATGTCTTATAGAACAAACAGACTTTACAAAAGAATTAAAAAACCAGCTTAGTCACAAAAAAACATCATCTGTCACGTAACTACTCCTCTTTTTTAAGACTTGAAATAAATGACTCATGTGCCAGTTTTGGGGAATGGCAGAGAACAGCTCAGCTCAGAGACCTCATGGCAAAGATGAAGAAATCTAAAAGTGAAGACCAGAAGTTTGTGAGCCCTGATCTGATCCCACTTTTGCTCTGCCTTTGTGTTGGTTGTGAGCAGGTCACCAAGTTCAACAGTCTTTTTTCCTCCATGTGGAAAATGGAAGTGACAGTACTGCAGTATTACAATTAGCATGCAAATTGTCTCCTTTAACTTCAGCTGCCTAAAAGCTCCACCTCACTGTAAGCTTCCTGTGTTCCTAGTGGCAAAGACAGAGACCTCCAGAGAGAAGTTCAATTTACCTGTCTATACAATTAACTTAGATTAAATGAGGCTAAGACAGATGAATCATCCAGCTATAAACACTGGATTGAAGGTGGAAGTGTCATAGCATGAGATAAAGAAGGAAATGTGAAAGACTTTGTTTCTCTGTATGATTTTGAGGAAGCACTTGGCATGATTTAGAAGTGGAGGTGAAAAGAGGTAAGACTGTGTGCAATAGCCACCATCTCATTTATGCTGAAGGAGGCCACAAAGAAAACACTGAACTCCAAGTGAAATGTGGGAAGAATTTAAGGAAGCAAAGTCAAGGAGTATAAATAGAGTCTTGTCCATTCACAAAGACAAATTGTTGTCTACCAAAGAGTGATGTTAGCCTTTTAACTCTAAATATAGATACAGTAGCAGTACAGATAGGAGGTGATGCAATTGAGTAAGGGAATGTAAAATGTAATCAGAGCTAAGGAAGAAGTATATGCACAGGATAAAATGTCAGAAAAGAAGCTCATATGTGAGGGTTGTTGGGGAAGATTTCAGAATGGGGTTGAGGGGGTGGAAAGGTACAGATAAGGAGAGCAAGGTAGTGAAAGAGGAACAATGCAGAAGAGTTGAAGGTAAATAGCAAAGTTGAGTTGGTTTTCTTCACTTCAAGTTTAAAATGGAACATGGAGTTTGAGGAGGAGACAGCAGCTCTTCTGAAAGACAGCAAGGAGAATTTAGTTATGTGCAATAGTGACAAAATGGAGTGAGATCCTTGCTTCCCTTTGACGAGGCTAGGGAGAAGGAAGGGAGGATGCCTGAGGAAGGAGCAGATCATTGATCAGACATTTTGTAAAACCACTGGGAAATTATCAGTGGTGTTGGTTGCTGAGCCTTGAGCCAGACCCAGATGAACAACCTTGGGCAACTTCCCTGAGTAAAGGCAGTGACAGGATCCAGAGTAGACAATCAATAGCAGAGCTGAGAATAGCAGGAAAGCAGTTCCCTCTAGGCAGATCATGAAAATGAATTGTGCTCTGAAGGTCCAAACTGCAAGAGCCTGAGCAGAGATGGGAAGGTATAACACCATTACACCCTGAGCTGTTTTGTTGTACTAGAATTGCAACAGCTGGTGAAACCCAGAGCAGGCACAGATTGCCCCAGCCAATTGGTTCAGTAAAGGGCTGCAGATGACAATTAACATTATTTATTTAACCACAGTTGCAGTTTCATCACTCCTGGCACAAGATCTCCTTTGCCTTTTGGAGAGTGAGTCAAAAAGTCAGGTTTTGATCTAACTTCTGTAACTGCTTCAGAGACTTGTGTTAAAAATGTGGGTTTGTAAGTCCTTGCAATAAGTAGCATTGCTCAGTGAATCACAGCAGATTAGATCTTGTCTTTATGGCCTTCTGGGTAATAGCACACTTACAGGACTGTTTTACCCGGCTCACTGCGTTCCCAGAGCTGCATTAACATCCTGTCTCTCTATGAAAACTTAGATCATACTGCCAACCCCAACATCTGCTCTTCTTGCATTTGCAAATCAAAACTGCAGACCAATCTGAGAGCTAATCTGTTCATGGAGAGAAGAGGCAAGAGAACTCTAAACTCTGCCATGCTTCAAACACCAGCTCTTCAGGGTTCCCTTCCATTTGCAACAGTGGTGTGTTTTTGTAAAAAAAGAAATGCTGAGCAGTGGGTTTGGGGTCTGTATGGCCACAGAAATGCACTGTGGATGGTGGGAAGATGCACAGTAATGGCACAGATCTGCATGCTGGAGGAAACTGCCCTGCTTGAACATTTTATTCTATCGGCAGAGTCCATTAGCTTTGCTTCTGCACTTGGGATATAAAAGCTGTAACCACACAGACAGTTGTGGAGATGCAAGGTTTTTCTTTAGGAGGCAAGGGAGGCAGTGTGGCCATTTATGTGCTGAAGCAAAATGATTTAAATTTGATTTAGGGCCTAAATATTGAGGTCTTCATAGTGTATGAGCAAGTGGCTGTTAGGGGAGGGATGTTGAGCTTTTTGGGGTTGAATTGAACTCCTTGCACAGAAGAGAAAATATCCAGAAGGTGTATGGGACCTTTGGTTCTATTCAATTTCTCCCCATCTTGTCCAGATTTAGAACCATTACATAACAGGAGAGTTAAAAACTCTCAGGTGACAACGGAGGACGTAAAGACATAGGATTGTATTTTGCTTCAACTGAGAAGAAAGCACTTTATGTCCCTTTCTTTTTCCCACTGAGGCACCCTGGATTTAGTCTTGTGATGGTCCACTAAAAACTATTGGGTTGAAGACAAAAGACAGGAGAGAAAGTTGCTTCATTTCCTTTCCTGACTGCAGTATGCTTTGGGCTGGAAAACTGTGAATTAATCAGAGAACTTTGTGGGGGAAGAGATGAACAAGAGAGAGATTAATGGAGCTTTCAGCTGATGTGCAAGTGGAGTGCAGTTCTTGCCCACAGACAAAGATAAGGTATAAAATAAAAACTCCTGCATAGACTCACAGAATGGTTTGGGTTGGAAGGGACCTTAAAAGATCATCTACTCCACTTCTCTGCCATGGGCAGGGGCACCTTCCACTAGCCCAGGTTGCTCTAAGCCCCATCCAACCTGGCCTGGAACACTCCCAGGGATGGAGCAGCCACAGCTGCTCTGGGCAACCTGTGCCAGTGTCTCACACATCAGTATTGGATTTAGAACATGTTTTTCATCTTCCAAGCCTTTTTATTCCATGGTTTCTTCTGCAGTGCCTCAACTCTTGCTTGTCTGTGCAATGGCCATGGTATATGATCCCAGGAGAACAGGATTTATCACACCTTGCTCTTGAGGCACAGTCCAGGACCAGGACAGAGTGGCCTTGCAAAGGGCAAATCATCCTTTCACACCAGAGCTGGGTTGAATCACTTCTAAAGATGTCTGTGTTTCTCCACTGACTCTGTGGGGAGCCTTGACAGGAAGTTTAGACTCACAGTGCAATATTTAGATGGCGAAAGTTGAGTGAGATGAATCCAGGGCTGGTGTCAAAATGAGACATGGAAGAATTGCAATGATATTTCAAATGATCACTAATGGGAATTTTGACAGAAGTTTAAAACAGTAACAATTTTGTGCTAAAATGGGAGCTCAGAGCTCTTTAGTGAAAATCCTGTCATTTCTGAAATCTGTTTTAAGAACAATTTCCAGTCAAAGTACTCTTCACACAAATTTGGAGTTCTGCTAACTTGCATACAGACTGTAGTAAACAGGGAGAAATAACATCGTTTATACATTTGTTACAGCCTATTTCCATTTTTTTTGTGGTCCTGAATGCAATTTTTTTCTGTTTCTCCCTCCATTTTTAATGTTTCTTGTAGTCCATTTGTAACACACAAGGATATAATGTGTGGTAAATTTGAGAGACACTTTTAGTGTGCCAAATACTTTGTCTCCTTGGCTGATGTCATTCAGTGGATAGAGGGAAGAATCAGAAATAAATTTTAACCATTGGGAGAAGATGAAGACATTTGCTGCTCTTTAAAAAGCCTTCAAAGTCTGGTGGCAAAAAATTAAGTGCAAGATTGTTATTGCTAAGAGCATAATAATTTGCAATGGGGTTTTCCCCCTTTCCATTAAATAAAAAGCCAAATTCTATGTGTTTTGGGGGAAAAAAATGGATTTACAAGGTAAATTATTTTAGGAACTTTTATCCAGACTGTGCTCCTCAACTTATGAACGAGCTTAAAGACAAGTCATCATTAATATTTTGTGTGCTTGCCATGTACACAGATAATTTTTTGCTGCTGCACTGTTCACACTCTTCCAAGCAATAAATCTTCCACAAAGGATTAATCTCATTTTTGTAAAATATGCAATGAAATATTTTGAATTCTGTCCTGCCAAAGCTAAAAATATTTTTTCAGTTGGTCCAAAAATACACTCATGGAACCATTAAGGTTGGAAAATATCACTGTGACCATCAAGTCTAGTTGTTAACCCAGAGCTACTGTGTTCACCATTAAAGCATATTCCCAAGTACCACATAATCAACCCTAAACCTGTCTTCTTTTTTTAAAATTTTATATATTTATAATGATAATTTCTTCATAGTTTACTGTTTTTCAGCTAGAATAACCATATTTGGCTTAAAGGGAAAAAATCCAAACAATCAGCAACACTTTTTGCAGCTACAGAACATCTTTTCTTTATTCATAGCTGTCTGAAATGCATAGATCTCCTACTTCCCAGGTTTTCCCCATTCAGCTCCCTCCAGAGCTATTCATCCTGTCTTGTTGAAGTTTTTAGCTAAGGATTGGCTCAAAGAGCTGAAACTTCATTTTGGAGTTTGTCTCTATTAAAGGAAGAGAGTCAGGTTCTTCCTCAAGGGTTATTCAGAGCACTTGAGCTACACTCTGTGCATAGACATGTCTTTGTTCCACTATAGAGAATCACCCTAAGATTTGTTTCACCTGTCATTAGGGGCATTTCTGGTCTCCTCAGTTTTAGTTGTTCAGCATCTGAAGGGCCTACATGGAGCTGGAGAGGGACTCTGTGTTAGGAACTGCAGGGATAGGACAAGGGGTAATGGATTCAAATTGAAAGAGGGGAAGTTTAGGTTAGATAGTAGAAGAAGGTTTTTCCCTGTGAAGGTGGTGAGACACTGTCCCAGGTTGCCCAGGGAGGCTGTGGCT